CTCTTTCCATTAAATAGGATTGAGCCATCCTTTTGACTGACAGCCTTGCAACATTTTTGATTGAAGATTATGTTATAACCATTGTCACTTAATTGACTTATGGACAATAAGTTATGTGTTAATCCTTCAACAAGTAAGACATTAGAAATGGAAGGAAGATTACCATTGCCAATAGTTCCAGAGCCAACTATCTTGCCCCTCTGGTTCCCTCCAAACTTGACGTCTCCTCCAGATCTAAGTTTCAGGCTTTGGAACATAGACCTTCTTCCCGTCATGTGACGCGAGCATCCAGAGTCCAGGTACCAAGATTGGTGTTTTGACTTTGCAGCTAAAGATGTCTGCAATAAATATTATTTTGTCTTTAGGTACCCAGATCTTTTTGGGTCCTTTAGGGTTAGTTGCCTTAAAGTTTTGTCTGAACTTCTGTCTTCTGACAGCAGATTTGTTCTGACTAACTTTAGGTTTAAACACAGGAATGTTCTGACTAGAACGTGTGTGTTTAATATCATTAAGATGACCATACTTAAAAGTAGAATACAGAGGAGTATGCTTAATGATTAGTTTATCAACAGATGTTGGATTTAAATCTTTCTCAGAAGAAGATCCATATCCAATACCCTTCCTGTTATTTCTGCTTACACCATAGATCATTGAAGCCATCTTGCTTCTCTCTAGGCTTCTTGCCATAAACTTCTGAAAACTATAGTCATATTCTTCTAAAATATTTTTAAATTTTGACTTAGTTTCAACTTCAGAATCTTGTTGAGCTTTTTCTAATTCATTTTTAATTTTCAAATTGTTTGCTTTGAGCTCAGCAATTTCTGATTTCAGAAGATCATTCTCAAATACAAGATTGTTTTCACGCTTCTTGTATTTGAGCTTAATCTTACTATAGTTTTCCAACATTTCAGATAAACTCTCAATAAGTTCTGCTCTAGAAAGTTCAGAAAATACCTCCTCAGAATCTGATTATGATTCTGATCCAGATGTTTCTGCATGGTCTTCTACATCAGCCATGAGTGCCATGTTTGCACATTCTTCATCTGAGTCTGATGAGGATTCAGATGCATCTGAATCATCCCAGGTTGCCATCAGGACTTTCTTTTTATGATCAAACTTCCTTCTTGGCTTCTCCTTCTGAAGCTTTGGGTATTCATTCTTGTAGTGCCCAGGTTCTTTGCATTCATAGCAGACAACCTCTTTCTTTCCAGATCTTCTGTGTCCAGAAGACTCTTTATGTTGATCTGGTTTCCTGAAGTTTCTGAATTTCTTCTGCTTATGCTTCTAGAGTTTGTTGATCCTTCTGGACAGCAGGGACAATTCATCTTCTTCTTCAGAAGAAGATTCTTCAGAACTTTCTTCTAAAACCTGCAAAGCTTTGGCAGATTTGTTAGACTTTAAAGCAACAGACTTACCTTTTTTCTGGGGTTCGTCTTCTTCTAGTTCAATCTCATGACTCCTCAGAGAGCTGATCAGTTCCTCCAGCGTGATCTTGTTCAGATCCTTTGCTAGCTTCAGAGCAGTGACCATTGGTCTCCATCTGATTGGAAAACTTCTGATGATCTTCTTAACATGATCAGCAGTGGAGTAACCCTTGTCCAGAACATTCAAGCCAACTGTGAGAATCTAGAATCTAGAGAACATAACTTCTACAGATTCAGATTCCTCCATTTTGAAGGCTTCATATTTCTGGATCAGCGCCAAAGCCTTGGTCTCCTTAACTTGAGAATTTCCTTCATGAGTCATCTTCAAAGATTCAAACATACCAAATGTTGTTTCTCTGTTAGTAATATTCTCATACTCAGTATGAGATATATCATTTAGTAGTATGGTTCTTGCTTTATGATGATTCCTGAATTTTTTCTTCTGAGCTTCAGTCATAGATTTTCTGTCTATCATTTTGCCATCCCCATCAGTGGGGTGAACATAGTCATCAATGACTAAATCCCAAAGGTCAACATCATATCCTAGAAAGAAGCTTTCAATTCTGTCTTTCTAATAGTCAAACTTCTCCCCATCAAACATAGGGGGTTTAATGCTGATTCTATCTTTGTCCTCATATCTGTTGTTGTTGGATGTTGAAGCTTCAGCCATAATGTATCAACCAAAATATATCAAGAGTTTTCTCAACTGGATCTTTTCTGTTCACGGTGAAGTGAGAGCACTAACAGAACCGGAGCTCTGATGCCAACTGAAGGTGAGAAAAACACTTAGAAGGGGGGGGGGATGAATAAGGGTTTAGAAATAAATATGGCAATAAAAACAACACAATATTTTTATCCTGGTTCGTTGAACTCAACTAATTCAGTCCACCCTATCAAGGTGATTTGCCTTTCTCCACAAGGACTTAATCCACTATATTCAAACAGATTACAGTGTCAACCACTAAGAACAACTGTCTTAGTCTTCTCAAGAAATTCTGACCACAACTTGGTCTTCTTAAGGAATCTTTTACAAATAAATGTAAACTAACAAGTGTTTAAGATGCTTCTAAAAAGCTATATCACAAAATGTGATTTTTACACTTAGATTAAAAACAAATAAAAACAATTCAGCTTTGAGTAAGAAAGTTGTATGAGAATTGTTGAATAATTTTAATGAGTTTGTCAATAATTCGTTAAAGATTCGTTAACCTTGAGGAGATTTTGAAGACGTCCTTTTATAGTGCTGAAAATACAATGCTTGAAGACTGTGCAAGTAGAGTAGCTGTAGCCTTTTGTCTTCACATGACTTTTCCTTTCTCAGAAGTGGAATGTTCAGAGAAATGCCTTTTGCCTGAATCCTTGTGTCTATCACAAATAAGGAATAGTTCCTTTGGAGAGGACGTTGAGAATAATACCAAGTCTATTCACGTGCTGACATCTTTTCAAACGTAAACAACATTAGATCCTCAGATGTGCTTCTTGTTCTTCAGATCAGATTCAATGATATCAGAGTTGCAGCAACAGTGCTTCAGCGTGAGTGATCTGATCAGAGCATACTTGTTTATCAGAGCCTCTGTACTTGCAGCGTAAAGTACATTCAGAGTCTTCTGAAACAATGCTTTAAACTCTTCATACAAACTCTTCAGCTACGCTTCAGATGCTTCTACAGCTTCTGCTTCAGAGTCTTTTGCAGCTTCTGCTTCAGAGTCTCTTCTGGCAGCGCTCAGAGTCTTCTGATGACTTGCTTCTGATGCTTCAGAGTTTTGCGTAACTTGCTTCTGATGCTTCAGAGCTTTTTGCATAGTGTAATGCTCGGATGCATTTTTGCTTCCATAAGAATATTTAATTCAATATCTGGAACACAAAACACTTAAACAAAATTAGAGTATATATTTTCTTAATACAAAATTTCATTAGCGTTATCATCAATCTGTGTTCTAATAGATATTGGTTTTGAAATTTATCTATTTACGTAGTCGAATGGTCAAGGAGAAGAAAACAACATACAATGTAGGTTTTATAGAGTAATGACCATTGTTGGAGGTTTCAATAGATTTTTTCCTATTAAGATACTCACCTTCCCAAATTTGGTTCAAATCACATTGTTGTGAGAATTAAGCTGGAGAAAAACATGGTAGAGGAAAGAAGAAATAGGCAATACATTTTTCAGGTTTGAAGGTGTGTGGGAAAGAGATGAGAGGTGTAATGGGATTGTTAAGCATAAATGGGAAACTCCTGCTGGTAGAGGTCTAAACAAGATCTATTCTATCGCGAATTTGGGAATGAATTCAAAGAGCTCAAAAGTGGTTTAGTGCATGTAGAGATTAGAAGGATTGAGTAATTGTTGAAGGAGGACTCTAGATGGGGGCTAGTGAGGAAGACATTATAGCTTATAAAACTCTTGAGCAACAAAATAATAACTTGCTTAAGGTTGAAGAAATCATTTGGAGGCAGAGAATTAGAGAAATTTGGCTTAAAGATGGGGATCTTAACACCAAGTTTTTTCATGGGAAGGAAAATCAGAGGAGAAAGAAAAATGCTATAAGTAAGCTTAAGGATGAAAGTGGTGTTTGGTGGAGAGGTTGGGATCACTATAAGAGAATCTTACTCACGCATTTTGAGGAGTTGTTTGCCTCATCTAATCATGTGGATATCCAGCAGAATTACGAGGTTGTTAAGGGTAACCTTTGTTTAGAGCAGAAAATCTGGTGTGAAGGGAGCTTCTCTGGTCAGGAAGTTGAGGATGCCATTTTCCAGATGCACCCTCTTAAATCCCCAAGTCCAGATGGATTATCGACCCTCTTTTTCCAAAAATTTTGTGCCAACCGTGGGTTCTGATGTTAAGAAGTCAATGTTAGATATTTTGAATAATGGCAATGACCTGTTGGGTATAAATCATACCTTTATTGCTCTGATTTCTAAATGCAAAAACCCTAAGTCCCCCAAAGAGTTTTTCCTTATAAGTCTCTGCAATGTGGTTATGAAGTTAGTGACTAAAATAATAGCTAACCGTATAAAACAAATCCTGCCAGATATCATTGATGCAGGGCAAAACACACTCGTCAGGGGAAGACTTATCACATATAATGCTCTTTTTGTAATGGAGTGTTTCCATTGGATGAAGAAGAAGAAAGTAAAAAAGAAAGGAACCATGGATCTTAAGCCCTACATGTCCAAGGCTTATGACAGAATGGAGTGGTGCTTTGTGGAAAGTGTCTTATCTTTGATGGGTTTCTCGGCATCAATGATGAATCTAATTATGAAATGCATTTCCTTTGTCTAATACCAGTTCCTGCTTAATGGCTAACCTAGTATAAAGTTTTTTTTGGAAAGGAGCCTTTGAAAATGAGACCCATTTTTCCCTTACTTGTTAGTTCTTTGTGCAAGTGTCCTCTCAGGAATGCTGAAGATGGGGTCTAAAGATAATAACATTCACAGTATCTAAGTGGCACAAAAGGCCTTTAAGATCTCGCACTTTTTCTTCACTGATGATTGTATGTCTTTTCTAGGGAATACATTGATGAAGTTAACAAAATTTTGGATATTCTTACCTGGTGTCAAGTCTCTTCAGATCAAATGGTCAATCTTGATAAGTCTGAAGCCTCTTTCAGTCGAAATATGCTGGATTCTATCATAGAAATGATCCCAAACATGATGAGTGTAAAGATTGTTCAATCTCATTCGAGATACATGGGTCTCCCGGTTCTCTTTGGTAGATCCAAAAAAGAGTTTTTTTCTCTCATGATTGACCGTGTGTGGAAGAAGTTGAAAGGGTGGAAGGAAATAGTTTTGTCTTGGTCTGGGAAGGAGGTGTTCATTAAAGTTGCTGCCCAAGCAATTATGTTATATATTATGAGATGTTTCAAGTTACCAGAAGGAGTTTGTAGGGACATAGAGAGTATGATGTCCAAATTCTGGTGGGGTTCTACTTCTAGAGAAGGAGAAAGGAAATTGCACTGGTTTAGTTGGTAGAAACTCATTGTGGCTAAAGGTGATAGGGGAATGGGTTTTAGAGGGATTTCTGATTTCAATTTGAGTCTACTTGGAAAACATTTTTGTAGAATCCTCATTGGTAAAAGTTGTCTTCTCATAGAGGTCCTTAAGACCAAGTATTTCCCGAGATGCTCAATCCAAGAAGCTAAGGAAGGGTATGCGTCTAGCTATGTCTGGAAAAACATCCTTTGCACCAGAGAGGTGGTGATGGTTGGATCTTGATGAAGGATAGGTGATGGATCCAAAGTAAAAGTCTGGGTTTATAATTGGATCCCGAAAAATGATAACTTAAAAGTGATTCCTGCAAGTAGGGGCGTTAATCAAGAGGATTTAGTTTCTAAATTAATTAACACTGATCTGGCTTGTTGGAAAACAAATTTGTAGAAAGATTGGTTTGAACCTTGGGAAGAAAGTCAGATAACTAGCATCCCTATTTCAAGAAACATAAGTTTGGATAAGTTTATTTGGCACTGGGAAAAAGATGGCGGGTATTCTGTGAGATCTGCATATCACTTGCTAAGAGACAAAAGAGAAGCTTTAAAGAAAGGTCCCTTTGCACCGCACAATGCATATCTATGGAGGAAAATTTGGACACTCCATATCTATGGTGAAGAATGTTAGAACAAGATTTGTTCATGACATATATTCCTTGGGTTTTGATAATAAAAAGTATTAAAAGAACAATGGTTATATTTGATGTGTGTTTCATGTATGCAGGTTCTAATACTTATATATATATATATATATATATATATATATATATATATATATATATATATATATATATATATATATATATATATATATATATATATATATATATATATATATATATATATATATATATATATATATATATATATATATATATATATATATATATATATATATATATATATATATATATATATATATATATATATATATATATATATATATATATATATATATATATATATATATATATATATATATATATATATATATATATATATATATATATATATATATATATATATATATATATATATATATATATATATATAGAATCTGATACACAAGGGTACACTTGAGGGAAGCTGAATTACTAGCTTCTGGTGGTGCAGAATCTGAAGAACACTCTCTAAGTGATGTTTGGCGTAGACTCTTAAGCTGAAGGTCTTAGCATTAGAAGAAGCAACATAATTATCTCTGCACTTGGTGAATATAAATTGGCTTATGGTGATCATTCAGAGTTAATGATAAAGATGAAGCTATCCGTACTGCAGAAAGCAAGTTGTATTGTCAAATCAGTTTGTTAACTAAAGTCTTAGTTCAAAAGGCTCAAGAAAATTTGGCATGCTTAACGAATATCCTCACTAAATGGCTCTATAGTACATGATCTCTTTGAAGACTCAATGTTTAAACATGTTACACAATAGATCAAGATCTTTTGGCGTGTCTATCTTCAACGTCTCTTGTACTATGGAGAAAGAAAAGGCACTTGATCAAGTTATCTCTCCAATGGCTAGTCTTCTGCAAATTCTATATAAGTAGCTAAAGGTTCAAACTGAATCTTTAACAAGGATCAACCTGATGAAGGAGTAACAAGATCAGTAATTATCAACATGATTGAGTATGTTGAATTTCTGTTGTAGGTTGTAATTGTAAAAGCCTTAATATTTCTTAAACATTGAATATCTTAGAAATATTAAAAATTTAGGTCTTTGATATGGTGATTTCCCTATACCTCTAATCTTGGTATCAAGTACAACTTGTTCTCTATTCTTATGAACATGTTGTTTAGCAGTTTAGATCAAAGTCTCTTGCTAAATTCTAAAACATAAAAGTCTCTAGTTGAAATGCTTGAGCCAAGTAAGTTTCTTTCTATGTGTTGTGGCATTGAAATTTTTTATTTTTTTTATCAAGCAAGTGAAGTCTTGGGTTTGTCGAACCTGAGCAAGGAAGTCTCAGATTGAGGGTCTGAGCAGAAGTCTTGAACTTAATGGGTTTAAGCAGCAAGTCTTGGGTTCGTGGAACCTGAGCAGGAAAGTCTTGGATCGTGGGTCTGAGCAAGAAGTCTTGGGCCTGAGGAGCTTGAGCAAGAAGTCTTGGATTTGAGGGACCAGAGTAGGGAAGTCTTAGGCTGAGGTTCTAATCAAGGAAGTCTTTAGTCTTTTGGACTTAAGCAAGGAAGTCTTGAGCCTTAGAGGTTTAAGCAAGAAGTCTCGGACTTAGGGTTTGAGCATTGTAAAAGTCTTATGCAAAATGCATAAGCAATTGTAATCATGATTTGATTATAGTGAAAAATATCTTATGAAGCAAGGGGACCAGACTACTCTCATTTTGGAGGAACTAGTATAAATTTTTTTGTCTTCTACTATTATTTATTTGCTTGTGTTAACATTCCGCTGCTAAGTATAAATAGAATCTGAACACCAGTTTAGATTCTGAACTTTGATCAGACGCAAATTAAGAAATGGAAAATACAATTCAACCCTCTTCTTGTTTACTTTTCTCAGCTTTAGTTGGTATCAGAGCATGGTCTATACATAAATCTTAACATTGGTGTAGATAACGATCCAATGAGAAAAGTATGTCTGTTAAATACTTTCCTTCAAGAAGGAATCAATTGTCGCATGAAAAATATTACATTGTTTTTCCTACCATATTCAAAAGGTGATTCCGCTGAACTTAAATGATGGAAAAGTTAAATATATTTTTAATTCATTGGACTTGATAAAGGGTTTTGTCAAGGTCTGTAGAATACCCTTGAAAAACGTATTACTATAGAAGTTGATGGTATATGGATGATCAAAGTTTGAAAGTATCTCTCACCAGCTAAGAAGAAGCTTATTGAGAACATCTTAAAAGGTAGATGCATTCTGGTAGGTTCTCTATCTCAATTATGAGTATATTAACATCATTGATACGTCTAAACTATCTTTGAACCCTTGTGCTCAGATTTGTGGGAATCAGTTATGAAGCTTTTCCAGTTACACTTTATCTAATCTTTCCAAGCAAATTCTGAGAAGATTGTTTTGAATTCAAACCCAAGGTCACAGTTATTCAAGAAGTCATACAACTTGAGTTTATTGTGCGTTGTAAGTTTATCTTGCAATCTCCAGAGAAAAAAGATGTAAATAGATGATGGAAAGCTACCTAACAGATCATCTTTCCTAAATCCTGTTGAAGGATACTTCCTATGGAATGTCTAATGATGAGGAACTAACCTTCCTAATCAGAAGATTTCTTAACTGGATGAATGGAATGTGACAATGGTTGTTAGAAGAGTAACTTCAAAAGCTTCTAATATATTCGTATTTCAACTAATTTCCAAATCCAAGAACAAGGAAAAAACACTACCTGAACCTAATGTCAAAGGGCTTCACTATATATTCATTTGAAGCTAACATTAGTCCAAGATTCAGAAGGAAGAGTAATCTGACTCTGCCAATCATTATTGCTTCTAAAAAAGCATCTGAATCCTGAAATAAAAATATAGTATTGAAGGGAAAGAGATTATGCGTAATCTATCTTGCTTCAATATTTGATAATAAGGAGTTTGTTCTTTAAGGTGATATCTTAAGTGACTCCATTGCTCCTTGATTGAGGGTCATCGTTGAATTTATGTTAAGGGACAATTATATGAGAAACCTTCAATTATTCTTCGCGTTCTGCCAGCAATTATATGACAGTGCTTTAATTTGTTTTATGCCAATCTTTGATAGATAACACTATCTATTTCTAAGCTTATCAAAGATTTCAAAGTCAAAAGATTTAATTTAAGACAGTGAAATCAATGATTCTGCTAAGAACAAGATCTTGTTCATATCATGACTCATCCTAGATTAATACTCTAGAATGAATCATGGTATTATTATTAGATTGAGCCATAAGGAAAAGGAAAGCCTAGTTGGACCAAACATGTAAGCACTCATAGAAATATAAGTATCATTATTTAAATGTAGTTGCTGCAAATATCGAAGAAAGGAGCAAAGGCATCTTCTATGTTGCTTATCAAAGGTTGTTTACAACATTTGATGGAAGAACAACCTACAAACTAGACTCAAGTGCTAGAGGTACTGTGTTTGGTGAAAGAAGTGGAGTCAATGGTTTAACAACCATTGAATCAGAATCCACTCAAAGCAGTATTCATATTCTATGGTCAAATCTGAATACTCATACTAGTCTGACGGAGAAAATAAAAAAAAGGTATGTATGTTCTTTTATGGCTTATTACTTATATCAATGAGATACTTATGTATATGTAAATACAAAGTCTCTGTTATATTTATAGAGAATTTATTTTGATAAAAGAATCTTCTGAGATATTTAAGAAGAAATTAAGTTGTATTTGTCTATACTAATATATCATTAGCTAGATGATGGTCATATTTATGGAGACAGTTTACTCACTTTTTATGATGATACTGCTGTTTGTTAGCATTTAAAGAAACCAATTCAATATTCATTAATCACTCATGACTTTTGTTTCAAGAGAAAATGTTTGGTTCTGAATAGAATCTTGAAGATTGATGACTGATAGAAGATGTCTCACCTAAGTCTAGATCTACTAGACTCTGATGGATGATAGCTTATGAAAATAGTCAGACTCTGATGGATGATAGCTTATGAAAATAGTCATACTCTGAGATTCAGAAAATGATTCTTTACTTCTGATAAAGCAGTTTAAGTAAAAGGTTTTTCCAAAAAAATTTATATTACTTAAATATTCATAAAGGTGAAAATCATCTAATTGATTCAGGAAATCTACTAGATAAGAACCTTTGGGTAATGATGTTTTTTTTATATATTATTATTATTATTATTATTATTATTATTATTATCTTCATCCCCTGTCTTGTAACATCATTTTGTGTCCTTTTTCCGACAAAATTCTTATTCCTTTAGAGTCTTGTTTAGTTCTTTTCTTTTTATTTTCTTTGGTTGTGTGCTGATCAAACCAAACCTGAGATGAATTCTATAGTTAATTCTCC